CCCCAATGAAAAACAGACCTGTGGCAAAAAGCCTTGATTTTTAAAGTTTAAAATCGTTTATGTGGTCAATACTTTCTTGTAAACGTTTCATTTCTCGCTTGATTTCGTATGCAAAGCCGCCTCATAAAAGTGCATTCAAAAATATAATGTTCCTCCATCTTTCTCCTAAGTTCTGTCTCATGAACAAAGCTGCCAATCTTTTGAAGAAGTGAGCCAAGACAACCAGGCTCAAAATTGATACAATAATGATATGGGTTGTGTTTTTACTGAAGGTGGTGATAAAGCAAGCTGTTGACCTAATGAAAAGAAATGTCTCACCATCAGGCATGATCTCAGCAGGTTAACTTGGCCGTCTAAAACATGGAGAAAAAGGAAATGAAAAAATAGAAATAACATCTTACATCATAGGAAACTAGAAAAAAGAACAGTAGAATGGGAAAGGGTTAAGAAAAATAGAAACATACTAACAACAAAAGTAAAATGATTGTGAGAGCTAGTGTTTATGTATATTTGCATTGTGTGTGTGGTGGTGGTGGTGGTGGTGGGGGTGATGGTATTGATGATGATGGCAGTGGTGGTACTTGTTGTGGTGGTAGAGATGGTGGTGGTGGTATTGTTGTTGGTTGTGGTTGTGGTGGTGGTATTGATGGTGGTTGTGGTATTATTGTTGTTGTTGTTGGTGGTGGTAATGATGGTGGTGATGGTGGAGATTGTGGTGGTTGTTTTTGCTGCTGCTTATGATGATTTCGATGAAAAAGAAGAAAAACAGCATCTTGAGAAGTCCTAGTTGGTAAATACAAAGCGGGGAGGATGAAAAGAGAAGGGAGTGAAAGGACGATAATATAATTTCAGAAAGAGACGAAGATTTACCGAAAGAGTTTTAGCTCAATTCCCACTCCAAAGAGAAATTGATAAAATTCCAAATCAACAACATGAAACCTTTTCATCTCAGAGTACAAAGAGGGGATACTTAAAGTCGAAAAGATGCACACAAAGACTTTATTGAGAAACACGTTAAGGAATGTATAGGTTACAGAGTTGTTTTTTTCCCTTGCCCATTTATATGAGATTGACGCCATCTGATTAGTAGAAAAAAGTGCATATGATTGTGTCCAATAGTGTATTACATGCATACTTAGTAGAACAGTTAACTGTAATAGCGGATAGAGATTCCAGGGTTATAGATGTCAGTCATTGATCTGAGAGCGGTGATGATATTAGAATCAATAGTGGTGATGAGTGATGATGAGGGATTGCGTTTAGGTAATGTTAGCGTTAGTCCTATCTTCCTCTGCTCCAATGAGTCACGAGGGACGTGGGCACCCTCTATCCCGTTCCCTACTAGAACCGTCTTTACGGTCACCATGAAGTTCCGAAATGGTGGGCTCAGTCTCTGCTAAGGTGACATCGTGCTCCGAAAAGATCACGAGAGTATAGGTTACAGAGTTAGCACAGCCCTTGAAACTGTAGTAACGAGGAAGAGACTGAAAAAAAAAGATACAATAAAGTAAGGTATCATTTGTTGATCTCCACAAAGATTTATTTGTTTCGGCATAGTACATACGTACATGCACGCTCGGGCACACATACTCACACACACACGCGCACACATACTTACATATACACACGTACACATACTTACATACATTGACGCACACACTCAAATAAACCGGGGCCTGGGGTGTAGCGATCAAGTGCTTGCCTGTCACATGCAGGAGACTCAAGTTCGCTTCCCGATTTGGGAGACATTGTTTATCGATTATCTTGGTCTTTTTGTCTGGAAGCTGTATCCCTCTCAGTTCGAGAAGGCCCTTGCAGGCAGGGTCGGAGACCCACCTCCTAAAATATTTGTGAGGCAGCGTGGTGGAATCAGGCTCTCGTCAATTTTTGGGCATGTACAGTTATTGGTATCATCTTAAAGCTTGTTCACTTGTCTTTATTTGGATGGAAAAAAATATCCATTTATCTTGAATACAAGTCGAGATATTTGCGAATGAAGGAGGTGGGGGTCACCTGTTATCAGAGGTAAAATTAGTGAGGAAAGGATCGCAAAAGATTCGTTATTTCCTTAGCTTTAGAGTCTGTGGCAACTGAAAATTTACATTTATTGTACCTTTAATCAACGTTTTTCAGAAAATTCCACACAGAAATGAATTCTTTAATGGGCATGAAAGGTGTTGAACCAAAAAACAAAAATTTGATAAAAATTCACAAACCTGCAGAAAAATGCAGGTTTCTTCATTTTGATTATTTTGACGAGAGCCTGATTCCACCACGCTGCCTCACATTTGAATTGTGTCAACGTTGGTGCAAAAAAAAAAAAAAGACTTGTATTTAAATTTGAATAAAGCACTCTGAGAGTTATTGGATGGACATACAGATTTAACAATTTTTTTCTCGCACTCGCACTGGTAGCAATGACCGACTAAGTCTTATCTATGATGGTTTGAATGGAATTTTATACTTGTCGGTTCTTGGTTAATTATAAATAATAATATAATGTTTACGACTAACATATAACATAGTTTGATATTCTGAATTGATTGGGTGCTTGATGTCTGCAATGATCATTTTTGCTGATTTCACAATATAGATATTGCAAAGCTCAGTAAAAAAAAAATATTTAAAAATGCCACTTTCTGCTTATATCAGTAATTCTGTCCAAATGCAATTGTTGTTGTTTAAAGATGTTACTGCTTTTATACGAATTTCGGATAGTAATGAAGCTTTCAATTTTATCATTTTATGCTCTTATTCAATTGTTCCCCTCCTACAAAAATCTCGC